GTGGGTCGAGGGTTTGGCCTAAGCAGACCTTGCACAAGCAAGTGGGAGATCTACCCACCGTGGGAGCTGCTGATCCGAGCACCGCCCAGGCTACCACAGTGATCCCTTCCAGAGACCTGGGTGGCTCTGAAGGCCCAGGGAGTGGTTTAGATGCCGTTGTGATGACTACCCCTCAGCTTGTATGGAAAGGAGGAGCTGATGGGGGCAACCTTGTGTTGTAGGACTCACTTACGAGGTGGCCATGCTCATCTGCCACTGCTCAAGTGACGGAGGAGGCAGGGTCGGAGCACACGTGGCAATTTGTGTTCAGGGAGAATGTCAGCCCTTCCCTTCAGCACGATAAAGGTGCCTTGTGGCTCTAGCAGGATTAAAACTACAGTGAATTACTGGCTGTTAAGAAACTTCAGAGTTTGAATTTTGTATCTATGGGAAGAAAAGTAAAAATCACAGCCTTTTTTTACCTTGATGGAGAATGATCCTCACATGTTTTGTTGTGATAAAGGCTTCTTTTAGGTCTTGTTTTACCTTAATGTTACAGGTCATTTTCCATCTGCAGTTTTGAAAAACACAGTGGTGTTCCCACAAAATGCTTCAGTGCAGATAAATTGAGTTTTTAGGTCAGCTCTGTATGCCCAGGCTTATCTCAGTCCTCATTTCACTCTTGGACGACCTCTGTTGCACCTTTTCACCAGCTGCTCTGGTCATAGTCGTGTCCCTGGCAGGATGGTCAGCGGTCCTGTCCTTCATCTGCAGGAACTGCAGCAGTACAACGCTTGTGTACAGCCGGCACGTGATACTCACAATTTAGTCTTTCAGGACTTGAGATACAGGCCTCAAGCCAAGAGATGGAACTTGACCCTGCAGACATTGATTCTGGCCCATGAAAGAGAAGGATCAGGCCTATCTTCCTTGTCTGGATGTACTCCATCAGCCCTAACAGGTAGGTGAAAGCCAGTGCCACAGGAAGTGGTGTGCTTGGGAAACTGAAATCTGGAAATAGGCTTCTGCGCTCTCTCTCTCTTTTTTTTTTTTTTTTTTGGTCATGGGTGCCAGGGAAGATACATAGTCTGAGCAGTTATCACATCCCTGCTGCCCTCCCAGCTGTGCTCCCTGACTGCGACCACAGGGATGGGGCTGGCTGGCTCAGAGCTCTCGGGACCCTGGAGACAACACCTAGCACTTGTCCTGAGCTGGTTTGCCTGCTCTTTGGGCTACCCAACAGGACGGAACTGGAGACCAGGCTATCTTTAAAGTCTTACATGAGGTAGCAGATAAATGCACCCCAGAGTAGGAGATATCTTCTCCTGGTAAGGATGACCATCTTCCTCAACAAAGCCCTCGCCAGGGCTCCTACAATCTCTGTTTTTTTGTGTGTGTGGCTGCTAGGGAAAAGGCATAGTCTGTCCAAGCTGTTACTGCAGCCTCACTAGGACTTTTGTCAGCTCTCCAGTTTGACTGACAGGTTTTGCGCTGTGGGGACCAGAGGCTGCTCATCCGGTGAGCTCTGACATAGGTGAGCATATCAGAGCATGTGCTGGACACATCCCCCCTCTGATCTTGTGCACCGCTTTGATTTAACCACATGGGTGCATGGAGAGGTCAGTAGGAGTTTGGCTGGCACATTAGCAGACAAAGCACAAAGATGAGACAGTAATAGCCATTAAAGCAAAATTACTGTGCTGAACTGCCTTGAGAAAAGTGGCAGAACTGGAATGTCTGCTGCCAATATCGGTTGTGAAGAGCCTCGGAAAAGGGCACTGCGGCTGGCACGTGCACACAGGCAAAGCCTCTGGTATAGCCATAAAGTCACACAGGAATGCTTCCTCCTAGCAGATATGACCACCCTGTCAAAGCAAACACTCAGTGTTTCTGCTGGCTGTCAGAGCTCTTGTAGGAGCCACATTTGCATTTGCAGTGTATAGCACGGATGAGTCTGCATGAGCCTGGGACAAGCTTTTGCCTCCTTGCTGCTCACTGCCTTTCACTGAATCTTCCTGGTGACACCTGGGACCCTTGAGCTTGATCACTAAAGCAGGTTTAGTGTAACTGTCCTAGGAGACGGTTTGTTCTGTAGGTTTCCTGGACTCTTTTAAGAGATTCCACTATCCCATTGAGAGATGTCACTATCCCACTAAAGCACTGGCAAGGCATGTGGCAGGCAGGCTGGGCAATGCCATGGGCTCTGCAAGGCAGGATTTGTATGATCAGTATGAGCAGACTTGGACTCACTCCGCTAACTGCCATCGTTGCTCTCTGCAAACTTCTGTATTTTGCCCTGGCTGACTCTGGCAACTTTCTTTTCTTGCCTTCCTCTCAGGGCCACAGTTCAAGGTCTGGTGAGGGGTATGTTGTAAGAGAGCTGGGGAGAAAGTTCTCCCAGCCCAGTACACCTCCCCATCTGACCTCCCACCACCCACATGAGAGCTGGGTGATAATTTGGTGGGGAGGGATGATGGAAGGGGAGGGAACAGAGGAGGAGAGAGGGAAATTGTCATGTTAACTCTTGATAACTCGTGTTATCTCTCCGAGATTAGAGGCATCTCAGTGTGCCTCTTACACATTCAGTGGATTCCCTGCCTGGACTCCGGTGGCTGAGGGGGGTCTGTACTGGATTCAGGTGAGTTGGGTGCTTGTTTGTTGAGCATGTCATGTTGGGAGTGCTGGTGTGTCTGGTCCACCCTTCGGCAGCCTGTAGTGCTCTGCCACCAGACTTGCAAGGGGAAAAATTCCCAAAGTTAAGCAAAGGAAGAACGAGCTGGAGGATGGGGAGCAAACTGTCTGGATCAGCCCAGGGTTGTTTTTCACTTAAGGTTCTTATTGGAAAAGACAGGCAGCAACATTGCTGGGGAGTGCCAAGAAGCTGCAGAGCAGAGGGATGCCCAAAGGGCAGGTGATTGGTACTGGAGGTTGCAGCAGCTGAGGGAAGGAAGGCCTCAGGCAGCAGAAAGACTGGCAAGTGAGGTGAGAGGGGATCAGTGGGGATGGGAACAAAGAGCAGTGTTTGTTAGGCGAGAATATGTGAAGCGGGAAAGGCACGAGGTGTAAGGCAGGCTGCCAGCAGCTCAGCCCCTGACATCCATATGCAATGGCCCCCCCCAGACTGCTCTGAGGAGGGACTGTCACAGCCATGTGCTGTGAGCTTAGGGGCTGCAGCGATATGAGATGTGTCTGGAGGTCTTGCCTTCATCAAAGTTGTGCCTAGTTAGGGGGATAGAACTGGCCCTGGACAGGGAAGGGAGTCAGTCTGTCTGGTGCACGTGCTAACCTCTGTTATCTGTGGGTGTTACTTGCGTACAATCCCATGTGGGAGTTTCATAACACCTGATCCATGTCTCCTTAAACCAACAATGCTTTTAAAGTAATCACTGCTAATCAGGACTTTCATCCAGTCTCATTGGAAATGCCATTATTCCAGCTTCTCCTTTTTGACAGCCGCTGATATGAGGGGCTGAACTTTGGACCTGACCTTCCCAACCCTGCAACAGCCCATCTTTGATGAACTGTTCGGGGCAGATGCAGTCGTTGCTGAGGGCAGGCTCAGGAGTCCTGCCTCTCCCTGCTGGTCCTCACAGGCAGGGCTATAAGTAAAGAAATTTTGGTGTCGCAGGTCTCGGGGCAGATACAGCTACTCTCAGAGGGCAATGGTGCCTCACTGTCCCTGTTGCATGTGGTGAATGGGTTTGTGAGGGTAGGGATTTCCTTTGGGCCCATGCTCACCTGCAGAGAGTGGCGACTCTGCACCCAGCGCTCCCTTCATCCATCAGCTTCCAGGCTCCGTCTGGCCTGTGTCAGCGGTGCATGGCTGAGGAGGGGTTGATGCAGGCCAGGAGCCTCCCTCCTGCCACATGCTGCCCTGCATTCAGGGACTTTGCTGCCTCCGCAGGGTAGTATCCCCATTGGCCACGGTTTCCTCTCCTCTGGACTCTGCCCCTTCTGTGCGGTGCCTCCGGACCACCCGTTGGGTCGCTGCTCCCCTGTGCTTTTCCATGTGGGTCACTGGAGGAGGCATCGGCCACTTGCGTGCCTGTTTGCTCAGCGGGTCACTGGAGCAACGTGGCTTTTAGCCTCTGTGTCATTCACTTGGCTCTGCCCTTTCAGCAAGGGGCTGTGCAGGCACCTGTGCCTTGTTGGGTGCCAGGGTGTCCTGGCACAACCACGGGACTTCAGCAAGATGCCTCTGACCACATGGACTAGGCATCAGGAGGCTCCTGGCTAATGGGGTCTGCCTATGGCCCTCTGAGTCCACAGGATGTGCCCTAGGGGACCCGTCACAGTGGTACCCTGAGAGAAGGATGGATCCTGCCAAAACTGCGTGCAATGGGCCCTCGTGCTATGTGGCAGTAGATATGGACAGGATATGTCTGAGTTTATTTGGTTTGATGAAAAGGCAGAGGTAGGATTCTGTTCATACTTACCTGCCCTTTACAGACCTCATCAGCTAGTCTTGATATTTTTCCTAGGCTGAAGGAAGCACTTCTGCATCTCTGTAGTCTAGCGCAGGGCTGGTGATTCAACACGGACAGAGATTGAACTAGTGCAGAGAACAAGCTGCACTGCATTTGGTGAGTAACTTGGTGCTGGCCATCAGGAAAGATCAGCCTCAGTTACGGACATAGAAGGCTCTCCTGCTTTCATAGCAAAAAGACAGGCAGGAGCCATTCATTCCCCTTCTCAGCTGGTCGTATGTGCTCTGAAGGATGAGGCTCTGTGTTCTTTGCAGCTTGTATCACAGGTGCACATGCCATTAGCATATTTACAATTGCTCCTTATCTCACTCTTTGCTGGCATCAGTGAGCAGCAAACTCACCAACTGCAGGAGTGTTGCTCTTATTTCTTCCTGGAGAAAACATAAGCAGGATCTTATCCTTTTTACTTCCTCCTATGCCCCATGAACCTTGCTGAACAGATGCTTTGAAAATGCCCTATAGCCCACACAACCTGCAAGTTAATTAGAAGGTGTAAAGAAACCATCTAGCTTTCATCAGCTTGGAATGAAAGACATTTTAATTTTGAATGCTGTCCAGGAGCTGATCAGTTTTTCTCTTGCTACATGTTTCCCTGCCCTTTTCTTTTTAGCAGTTGGAGTGAGCTGTTCTGCTAGCAGTGTTTGGATCTGGAAACGGCTGTGGTTAAAGCAGCCAGCCCCATTCACATGGCTGCTTTTAAAATGTCTGAAAAGTACTTACTCCTACTGCTAATATTTACCTGTCCATCCTGCAGTTACAGCCTATTCCAGTGGCAGCCCTCATGCACTAATCCAACTAAGTTTGTTCCTTAAGCTGTGCTCAGGCACTGCTGTTTCTCACACACTCCTGATTTTTTCTTTGTGCTCCCTCAGCTGTCCTCTCTTCTTGCCATAAAAATGCAATGCAGGATTTCAGCTGCTGACTGACTGCTGGTTCATATCAGGCAACTGGAGAATTTTCCATGTCCTCCTGCTACTCCTTTTGTAACACAGTGCAGCCTGTTTTCCTTCGTATTCTTCCCTTCCCACCTTAAATTGCACTTTACATGCTTGACTGCTGCTTGTGTGAAATAAAACAGAAAGTATAAATGCAGCTCAGCTGTCTGCAGTGTCACCTGCAATCCCGTCTTGTGGTTCCTTCAGCTCAGGCAGTACCTACAAGTGTCCAAGGGTGCTTTAAATTGTGTTTCCTCCGATAAGCATTATCTCGTGCGTTTTAACGATGTCTCAATTGCTGTTTCATTGTTCACTTTTGAGATTTGTCTCCCTCTCATTTACCTTGAGATCAAATAGCAGGAGAGGTCTAAGGGAGAGTGTTAGCTTCCCAGCACTAGGAGCTCGTGTGTGATGGCAGGCCCTGTCATCTGGTTTGCAGGGAGACATGCAGCAGGGGAATGTCTCGTGGCTTCTTCCTTCTTTCTCTGGGGCCTTGTCTCACCTGAGCAGCCAGCTGTAAGCCCTGGATAAGCCCTTTCCACCTGGGGAGGGGCTGAGGATACCCCTGTGCTTTCAAAGGATGCTTTCCGTTTCCTTCAGGGTCCTCTCTCTCTGGTTCATGCTTCCCCCACTTTGATGGCAGCTATTCCCAAATACAACCTATGAATACTATTCTCCTGCATTTCTACACTGTATTTTCTGCACACCAGAGTGAACCTATGAGTGCCCAAAGCATTTCAGATGCACCCTTGCTCTCCCTTGCCTTCCATGGTCTTACCTGAAAGACCCCACAGGGGCAGGTGCTGAACTAGCACAGCACAAAAGACTTGAGCAAGGAAAGACTGGACTAGTCCATTCAAGTGTTGAAGACGAGAACTAGTTGGTGCAGCCAGTTGGTGCTTCTGGCTGACTGCAAGCTGTGTGCTTGTGTGTTAGTGACTGGGAAAATCCATGCAGATTCTTGTTTTCTCAGCATTAAATCTCATGAGTTAAAAACTGTGGCTGCCTCCACACAGTATATTCCATACCAACCCAGTTACTTTCACACTGGGCTGCCTGTGATGCTGGGCAGGAAAGAAGCCCCCATCTTTTCTGCAGGAAGACAACAGGCTGGTAGTTATACCTGCAAAGGATATTCTGGGCACCTCTTCATAGCGTTGACGGAAGAAAGTGCAACAGGTCACCTCTGAAATAGCAACAGTAAGATGAGAGGGAACCAAGGAAGAAAGATGCTGTTGGTGGATGAACAGGCCCAGGAGAGGGAGTAGGGCTAGAGGCAGTGTCAGACTTATCAGTGGGAAAAATGTCTCAGACCAAAAGAGTTAGAGGAGCAAGTTTGCTGCCTGGCTTTTTCTCCCAGTTTAGGTGAAAAGTACGGGCAGCAAGGGGCACAGCCTTTACTTCAAGCTTGCATATAAAGAGCAAGAGAATCTAATGGGAGAAGAAAACATCTTTTTGAGTTAGGAGTGATGTAACACGGCGGGTGGCTATGGCTGCTGTGGGAGAGTTAAATTGTTCCTAGCTGGAAACAAGAAGCTATTTGAATCCCCATCTGGTCTGAGAACATATAGGGCCGGGGCAGAGTAGGATTAGATGTTTAGGAATAAAGCCAGGAGGTGTGTGAATAGGTTTGTCCTTAGAAACAGCAGGCAAACAGAGGAGGGAAATACTGCAGATGTGCAATGCTGCGGGTTGCTTTGCCTGGGAAGGGAGGAGGTGGAGATCATGGCATAAAGTGCTAAGGCTTAGAGTACTATCTTAGTTTCACCCCTGCCACTTGTATCTAGTCAGGATGGCTTAGTTTCATAGGCAGAGTGCTTTTCCCTGTTTTAAATAGGTAAATAAACCCATGAATGCAGCATCTTCCCTGAAAGTCTGTTTGTCCCTGTGTTATCCTTCAGTGCTTTCTATCGACCTACTGTAGATTCAGAGTAATTGCAAAGTCCAAATCCTGACCCAGATATCTCTAAGGTTAAGGCTGGTTACAGGGTTGAGGCCATGGGCTGACTCTTCAGTTGGAGACTCTGCATTGGAGGTCACTCTGCATTTGTGGTCCTCCACTGCCCCTATGTAAAACAGGTAAAGCACAAAAACACATAAAACACAAATGTTAGTAGAAATAGGCTGGCTCTTGGATCCACCTTGCATGAAAAGAATAAAAGTAAAGAAATTAGATCAGTCCTCTCTTCTCAGCCTTTCACGACATCCTCAATAAGCCCAGGCTTAAGCACCATCGTACATGTTAATGTGCCCTGGACTGCAGCAAACTGAAACGTGCCGAGGACTGTGACAGATCAAACACATTTCATTAACTGTGTGTTATTTTTTCCTCTCCCATTTGACAGTGCATGGAGCTCTGCTCCTCTCTAGGATGAGGAGACTGTGCTGCAGCATCTGAATGAACTGATTAGCCAGCTGGCAGGTCCTGCTGCAGATAGAGAGCAGGAAAAGGGCCTTGCTTGTGTTTCAGGAGCTGAGAAAAGGCTGACTGGAGGAGCTCTCATTTCCATCTCCCAGTCAAACCAGCAGGCGAGCTAAGTGGAGGGGGGACAAGGCTGGGACCAGGAGGATTGTCACACCAGTGAGCCATCAGTGCTCTGGTAGGATTGCATCAGCCCGCATTTGAGGAGCATGAGGGGACCACTCGATTGCACGACCTTCTTTAAACCTGGGCTTAGAGGTGCTGTTGGAGGACTAATGCAGCATGACACTCAAGTGCAGATCCAAATATGCTATAGAGCACGATGAGTTTGGGGCTGAGGGAATGGTACCTGTAAATCGCCTGTAAATTGGCATTTGCAGCATGTGGGCTATAAAGGGCAAAGGCTGGGCAGGGAAGGAAGGAAGGTTATTTCCTTAGCACACTGGTTCATTTGGTTCATTTGTGTTTGTCACTGATATTGGTTGTGTCTGCAGGCACTGGCCGTGTAAGTCCTTATGAGACTTCAAAAAATGCTCAAATTTGAGAAAGGGGTCAGAATTTTCCTGCAATATTTTTGAATAGATAGTTGTACAGTCACTGACCTCTGTCTGCCCTTCTTCATGTTTTATGCTCCTCTGCTCACGCTGAGGCCCTCTTACTGAGGGTAGTGTTAATGCTTTGTATGGGATTCAGTCCTCTGCATCCTTGGAAATCTGCTGATTTCAAAGGGAATACAATGGGCCCTTCAGCACCAGGGCAAATGCAGAAATAAAGAGTGTTGCTGCCTTGGGCATCTTCAGAGCAATTGATGTATAACACCGGGAGGTCTGTTTTCATTTCTTTATTTTAATGACAGAGGGAAGAAATATGCCTCATGCCAAACATGGTCTGCTTCATTATGCGTGTTCAATAACAGTTAGCTTTTCATATGCCTGTGCCGTTCTATGTCCCTTGGCCTGATATATCCACAGGGTCAGGATTTATTAAATCATTTCATTTACATTGGGCAATTTACAGACGCAAATGAGATACCATGATACACAGTCTTATATGTATTGAGAAGTATAAGCATGGGCAACCAGCTCCTGCTCCTTGCCCTGCTGCTCACCAAAAGAAATGCCATGGTGTTCGTCGGCATCAGTTTAATGTTAGAAGCATACTTGCTGCCATTCCCAGTTTATTCAGCCACTCAATAGTCCCTGCTGTCCGTGTGTAGACTCCTATCACAGTGCTGGCCTGAAGTGAGAGAACTAGAGAAAAACTATGCATGAGGAGAGAGGGAATGGCTTCCTATCCCATTTGAAGGTGCAAAGTGTGTTCTGTAGGTCTGGAGGTCCTGCAGGGTGGAGCCAAGTGTGGTGAGAACTTGCTCATTCTGCTTATTGGGAGTGGTCCCTGGACAGAACCGCATCCAGGCTTGTGCTTGGATCTTGCCTGGGAGAGAAGAGGCCGGAATAGATCCAGGGGCAAAGGCAGAGTTGGGCAGTGTGGATGACACAGATCCCTATTCCTGCTTGCTCCTTGGAAGCAGAGATGTTCTCTCATAGGGACAGAGAGAAGTATTAAAAAACCTATCAAACCACTAGGAAATTGCATCTCTGTTAATGTTAAGGGACAAAGTCCTGGTTTCTTGGCACTCAGAGCTGATGGGAGTGGAAGCCTTGAATAGAGATGCTGCTGCTCTGGAGAGGTTCAGTTCTGTTCAGTTTCTCAGTCTCCACATGGAATCATAGAATCATGGTGGTTGGAAAAGACCTTCAAGATCATCAAGGCCAACTCTAAGCCTTTCAACACCATCCCAATTAAATCATGTCCCTAGGTGCCTCATCTACACGTTTATTGAACACTGCCAGGGACTGCCAGGGTAACTCTGCCACTTCCCTGGGCAGCCTGTTCCACTGTTTGACTACTCTTTCCGTGTAGAATTTTTTCCTAATATCCAACCTGAACTTATTCCTGGAAAATACTCCTGGAAGTCCAATAATTAAACCTCTCCTTTGGCTTCAAGTCAGAGAGAGAAAGATCCTGCTGGCTTTCTTTCTGCAAGAGTAAGACCAAAGGGAAGCTGTCTACCACGAGAGAAATCACTTCTAGTACTGCCTCCCTGCCAGTCCAGGAAAGACTCTGTCCCTGCTTCCAGCTCATTTTGCAATGACTAATCCTGGATTCTGGGATCTAATAGATAAACTCTCACTGTTTGGGTTGTAATTCTTACTGTTAGCTTAGAAGTAGCCCCCCAAAAAACATGCAGGTAACATTAAACCTCCCCAGCACCTTCAGCTTCCCACAACACCAAAAAACACAGCTGTCTCTTGTTCCCCTTGCAAAATCAGAGCAAATGGTCACTGAAACACCAGTATTAGTAAAATAAATCATCTTGGGAATAGCTGTTATTGAAATAACAGTTGAGATATGTTATTTTCATGGCATAGCCTTCAATAGTCTCTCGCAACTATTTGATTATGTTAAAAGCCAAAGGGAATATGTATCCCTTGCTGATGCCAATCACACCATCAAAGCTTCTGTTCAATTGCCATTGGAGAGATGTAGCTACCTCTAGGACTTTGTTGATACAGTTCACCAGCAATGCTACTCACATAAGATCTGTGTCCTCCAGTTGGAGTTCCATGTGCATCCTTACCTCAGTATACTAGCTAGAGCAATCTTTTGAGGAGAGTATTTTAGCTAAGTCAAAGGGAGCTCTTTCTCTCTACATTTTAATTTCCTCCCACATTCAAATTCTTGTAATCAATGTAAAAATGTCAACAAGAAGACTTAGTCTGGTCTGTGCAAATTTTGGCTAGATTTAAATGGACTAGACAATTAAAAAGGAGCTTGTGTATGATGGAAAATTTTATCTTGTAACAAACGGCCTCTAACTTTGCTTAATTAAGATGATGCTAAACACAACTCAGGATTTAGTATAGACAGGGAGAATTACTTCGTTGTATCACTCTACAGGCCCAGTCACATTCAATGTCAGACAGTGCATTTCCTCTGTATTTGCCTGGCTGTGCTTTTTCCTGGTAACATTTTCAGTGCAATAATTGAGCTTGTCTTTTCTTAGCACATCCTTGCCCAGTCTTGAAACACCTGAGCAATTCACAAGTATGAGGACCTTTTGCTAATCTCGTGGGCTTTGTTTCCTTGCTTTGTTTTCTTTGCAGCGTTGGGCAATGAGGCAGAGGTCTGTTGCTCATGTCTGTTTGTTATTAAGGTGAGCCCGGGTCGAATCAGCATGTGTGTGTTTTGTTCAGATGTGGTTCTGTGCTGTAATATAATGTGGTGACCGTTATGTCACAGAGAGCAATTCAGCACCCCTGGCAGTGCATGAAAATAAAAGACAGGTCTTCCATTCTTATTCAGACTAATAATCCATAACATCTCTACCTGCTCTTTGAAGCTGTTTCAGAAAAAGACAGTGTACATACTGGGAAGGGGAATTTCTTCTGCTCCTGTGTCCCTTCTTTAATCTCTAACCACTTTTCTCTTCCTCAGAATTGCTGTTTCTAAAGTCACAGCGATGCTACCAGCAGATAGGAAGAGGCCTGGGAAGGCCTAGGTAGGGGCAGTGGCAAGAAAAGTTCTCCCTGGAATATCCAGGAGGGAATGCTTTGTGTTGACTTTACATAAGCTGTTTTCCAAAGAACAGGAGGGACCTGGTGGTAACACTATGAATGCATCCATTTTGGTGGCTGGGCCTCCCCCCTCCACCTTCCATCAGGGTGGCCTTTTATGTCCTGTGCTCTGCTTTTCCTCTGTCCCACAGAGCCATGAGGAAAACTGCAGAATCCAATGGGGCTGTGGCAGGGGCTGAGGAGCTAAAAGAGGAGGAAATGGAAGAAAGAGGCCAATGGAGTAACAAAGTGGAGTTTGTCCTGTCCTTGGCTGGGGAGATCATCGGTCTGGGAAATGTGTGGCGGTTCCCGTACCTCTGCTACAAGAACGGAGGTGGTAAGTTCACATCACGCGTGACTCACCCTAAGTGGGTTGCTGAAGAGCCAAGGTGCCCGTCGTATTGGACGATGTAAGATGGAAAGGCCATCTTTCATTGCATGTGGGTGAAGGAGTTGTTTGAGGGATGGGAAGGAGGAGGACGTTGCTCCTTCCTCCTGAGGAAGACCTCAGGAACAGTTCTCCCAGTGGTCAACACACTGCTAGGGAAATCTGCTCCCAAGAAGGTTCCCCTCCCCTTTTTGTTTGTAGCATGACTTCCTGGATTCCTTTTCCCAATGGAATGGCAGAAAGATCATCACATGGTTAAAAATTATAATTTCACATGACAATAAAAAGAAACCGCGGAAGAGATGAGAGAATAATTGACTGTCACTAACTCTTCTTAGTAAATCAGAGCTTTTATCAATCTTCTCATAAGGAAGAAAGAGGAATAATAGATTACATGTCAAATAAACCAATAACTCCTCTTGCTCTTAGTTAATATGATCATCTTGAACACTCTGGGCTGTGTATGTTCCTCTGCTTTTAAAATTCCTTTCTCTGCAGACCATGTTGCAAAGTCCCTCCCTTCCCCAGAGCAGGGCACACAATGGATGAATGATTCAGTGCTGTTTGTCACAGGACTAGCAAATTCCTGTCACCTGTGCTGCTACTGGAGTTTATCTGAATCAAGCTAGAGTCGATAAAATGTCTCCACTGAACCAAATGAGCTTTGGGTCAGCTGAAAGAATAGTTTAAAAAATGGCAGGAGATTTTGTTGAACCTTTGGATGGTTCTCACCTGACCTTTTGTTTTCCTCTGAGGTTTTTATGATGGCCAATGAGGCAACAAATGCAACTCAGAACTGCCTGGGATGGAAAACACTGACCATGCATCTAATTTAATAGGCCATTCTGCACCAACACTTTGAAAGCAGGGGTAGAAATGTCATGGATTTTGCATGGAAAATTCCTTCCTGAGCTCAGATGATATCTCTAAATAGTTTATGCTATGGTATCCAGTTCAGCAGTCTTTGCAATTTATATGCTAATTAGCTTAAGTGAAAGGCTACTTTTTTTTTTTCATTTTAAATGTCTATTGAATATATATATTTGTGTGCGTGTATATATATATATTTAACTAAACTGTCCTGGAATATTTTAGGGTGTATTCAGAGGTCAGCAGGCTTGGAATAGATTATCATGGGAGTGTCCTCCTCCCCCAACTTGCACATTACCACTGCCAAAAATATGCAGCTATTGTAGAAGGTACATACTTCCCCCCACCAACTCAGTAGGGAACCAAATGGTCAACAAGACACTGTCTTTCCCATGACACTAAAAGATAAAAGAAGTCCTTTGAGCAGCTGCAAAAAAAGATATTTACCATCAATATAAGCTTCCCAGCTCCCATACTAGAGAATGATGTCCTGTTGCTTTTCTGCAGCTCCAGATGTAGTAAGACAGTTTTAAAGCTGTAAAAATAGATGTAATAAAGATATTTACGCTGACTTTCTCTAAAGCAACTGAGTGTAAACTTATCAATGGCTGCCCTTCCAAATTTGATCTAGGTGTTTGGCATTACTGACTTGTAAGAAAGGGGGTCCCCAGCAAGCTGGGAAGAAGATCACAACAGGCATTAAAGATCTGGGAAAGGTTAAGAAAAGCAAGACAGTAAGTGGGTAAGGAGCCCTCTTGCTACTCAGTGACAAAAAATGGATCAATCTCTGGGACAAATAGTATCAGAAAACAGGGTTTGAGACCTTCTGAAAGGTTAATCATCTATGTACAGAATAATAAAGTTCTACTACAGACACGTTTAAGAAGTCTTGTACCATCAAATGCAGCAGCTGCCTCTGGTTATCACACACAGTTCATGTCCCCAGCTCCACAAACGCGGACTGGCGCTGTGATCCACCCTCCTTTCCACTGGCCTCAGGTCCCCTGCAGCTATGGCACAGCTGTGTTTAGGGGAAATCTGGATCTTGCTTGTTATTTTAACATTGTTAGCTTAAAAAATGGAGGAAATGTTCCTAATTGTTAATTTTCTGTCATGGGAAGGAATTTCGGTGTGGATGACTGTAGTGGCATGGGAGGAATGGGCCTGGGGGACAAGTCTGCTGAGGGAAGGAGCCCACGTCCCTGGTGCAAACAGCTGAGAGGCTCTCCAGGCACTGGCAGTGGGAGATACTCACTGTCAAAGTTACGTGTATGATGATGAAACCTTGGCAGATGTTGTTCTAACTAGGAAGGCAGTTGCCTTGACCTGCTTTGCTTTTGCTGTCTATGCTTGGAGGGGAGAGAAAGTGTAAAATTTGTATGTCCATGATGGGGAGAAAGATTATGAGATGATAGGAGAAAATCAAGCAATAAAACAGATTTTGGAAAAAAAAAGGGAAAGAGCTGAGCATTTTGGTTTGGCAGCAGAACTACAAAGATGGAAAATAAGTTAAAATCTGCCTGAGCAGGGCATAAATCATTTTTTTGGATTTGTTTTGCTTTTTCAACATTTTTTTCTATTGTTTCTTCTTTGTTCATTCGTTTCTAGGAAAATAACTGTTTTCTTCCTCCTCTTCTTTTTCAAGAGTTACTCTGAAATATTTTATTTAAACTTAACCGAGCATTTGTCTCATTGCTGGATTATTTTAATTCCTTATTTCTTTTGACTTCTCTTAAGACGTCTCCTGTATCTTAATGAAAAGAATTTGAAGAGAGCAGTTCAACCTTTTCATTTTGGAAATGCTGGAAAGATGCTCTGTCACCATTCCTTTCAACCTCTAAAACTATTCTTCTGGTGAAAACTACTTGCCAAATATATGAGTAAATTCTCAAGCACTTACTTTGCATCAAATATGTACCAAGAAATGTCAGCAGTCTCTAGATTTGTGCCTTCTGGGTAATGGAGACTTTTGTTGTAATTCCTGGGAAAGGAAGAACGACTGTGAACCCATGATACCTTTTGCTTTACCTGACTTCTTCTGGAAGCTTGAATGAGAGGCTTGTGGCAGTGGGGGCAACCTCTCCAGTACCATCTGTTTTTTGGGGGTTTGTTTGTTTGTTTGTTTGTTTTGTTTTGTTTTTCTTTTTTCCTTCATTCTCCACAGCTTCTAGGTTGTGTCTAAGATCAAACACAGAAGTGCTGCAGTAGCATGGGACAGAGCACTCTTCTAATATTTTTTCCAAGAAAGGAGTTAGGGACTCTACTCTTCTGCACAGGCTGCACATTTAGTTCAGAGAAATGTTTGTGTTCATGTAATTGATTCCGACTTTGGCCTCTGTACCTGCTGAGGGGTTGCAGAGATAAGACTTTGAGGAAGTTTCTTAGGTACCATCTCGCCTCTCTCTGCAGGAGCCTTCCTCATCCCCTACCTCATTTTCCTCTTTGCCTGTGGGATCCCACTGTTCTTCCTGGAGATTGCGCTGGGGCAGTACACAAACCAGGGAGGGCTGACATCCTGGAAGAAGATCTGCCCCATCTTTGAAGGTGAGTCAAAGGAGAATTGCTGGTGGCAGCTTCTAAAAATTAGTGACCAGGAGCCCTTTTGGATTTTTTTTTTCCCTCCCTCTCCCAACCTTGTTTTCCCCTGGTCTCTGTGGCTTGTGCAGGGGGTAGTACCCTGGCACCATGTGGGTGAGCACTGGCTTGCCATGCCGGCTGATTGTACTGGCGCAGTGTGCAAACCACAGTGACTGCTTTGCGGTGCTCGGAGCCTGGCAGAGATGAGAGGAGTGTGGCCAACAAACAGGAGGGCAAAGAGCGAAGTGTCTACAAACAGGTGCCTGTATATAGGCCAGGACAAATATCAAGGAGAGGAAAAGACGAGGAAGGCGAGCTGGCCTGCAGTACCCTCTACAGCTCTTTCTCTACCAGGTGCTGTCCTGATGGTGTTTGCAGGCTGGCATTCACCTCTTTCGAGCTGGAATCACTAGCTTGACAGTCCAGATACAGCTGGTGCTGTGATTAAGGCAAAGGGATACAAATCAGGTCTCCTATAGCCCTTATTTTCTCCTGGAGAAAGGTCATTTAATGGTTTTAAGACATTAATGAATTTAACATTCACAATTTTCCTGTTTCTTTCACAGACAAGGAAATCTTTGCTCATGCAGATTAAAGGTCTGGTTTATTCGCCTAACCACAGGCATGTAGTGCTGTTTAAAATGCCCTGGGGAGTCTACGAGACATCCCTGCAAGACCCAAGGGAGACCTGTGGCCTCTGGAGTCAGAACTGGAGGCTGGACAGGAAAGGCATTTCAAAGGACATTGACACCTGTTTTTAAAAAACTGGGCTTTCTCTTTAGTGGCCTTTCTGATATCTTGGTGAGTGATGGGCGCAGCTAGGATGTGAGGCCGGAGCTTTTGACTCCTAGCACTGTACTTCCACCCCAACATCGCACTTCATGACCTCTCTGGAGATACCACTAATATGTTCCCATCTCTATGTGCAAAGTTACAAAATCCTTTCCCTTTCCCTGAGATGAGCATTGCACCATTCTCTAACGAGACAAGTTGTTGGCACTGCATCCTTCCTACTTGGATATGGCCCAGAACTTCATCTGAGGCTACACCTAACACATTAGGAGATGGCTGGCAGCCTTATCCTCATATTTGTTGCTTTTATTCACAGGAATTGGTTATGCCTCACAAGTCATCGAGTGCTATCTGAATATCTACTACATCATCATCCTGTGCTGGGCACTCTTCTACCTGTTCAGCTCCTTCACTGCGGTGCTGCCATGGGCCAGTTGCAGTAACCCCTGGAACTCAGGTACACCTTCATGTGGCTATTCCTGCAAAGTGCAAGTGGACAGGGAAATTTTCCATCAAAGCTAACTACTCTCCTCTTTTCCCAATTCTTGGAAATTATTTTAGTTTTGTAGAAAATGTATTGTATTGATATAAAGATGTTTTGGTTATAGATGAACTTCTTTAGTTTCCACTGTCATTTTGCAGTTTACCATGGGTGTCGCAGTGTGATGCCAAGAAAGGTAGATCTCATAAGATTCTCTGTGGCCCAGGATCTAGTGAATGGAGCTTTCTTCACTAAACCATGGGTGGGTGTCAGGAAGGATAATGGTCTGATGCTATGCCTAATGACAGGGGAGGGGAAGATTACTTCTGAATAAAGAAATTTCGGGGATGGAGATTTTACTGAAAAACTCCATATTTTTGTGTGTAGTGGGGATGTTGTGTTGACATAATTTTCAAAGCAATCTATGCCCCTCTCCACATGACAGGAGCTTTTTGTTTGGATCTAGTACAATAATTTATCTCACAACTCCCATTCAGTATCCCACTCCTTTAGAATTACTGGGACAGCTGTTGTCATGTACCGAACTGTTTTCCTTTGCCCTACTCTGCTTTCAGGTAAACCAAAAGACCAGGCCTGTAGACCAGGCCTACACAGGAGCATTTTACCAATACAGATCTCCCACAGCATAAAAAATAGCGCAAGACTCTAATTCCTGTGCATCCTTTCCGCCCTCTAATGACATCTGTTCAAGCCTTCATATTTATATCTTGGCCAGAAGACTCATCTCCTCCATCCACTGTTCTCCTAACTGTACCAAACAGCGAAGGCCCGACTTTGGTTTTATTTAGGGCACTTAGGCAGTGTCTGGGAAGGTGGAGTTGATGAGAGAGAAACTTCATCGATTAGATTGCCTGACAAGCCCATTTTACTGTATTGGAACAGGTTTTGCTTTCAATAGAAGTCAGTCTGGAAAAGGTTTTGGCAGTAGTTTGTTTTTTTCCCTTTTCCTCTTGTCAGGTAGTTCAATTCCATCATGTGCTAATTTTGCCCGCTCGCCACTTTCCTTGCTCCTTAATCCCAGCAGACGTAGCCGTCTTTAAACAGCAGATCTGATTCTTTCAGCTCCCCAGCATGGAAGGGGGAGCTGAAGGCTCCTCTTGCTTGCAAGGAAAGCCACAGATATTCTCTCACCATGCAGAAGTATTCCACCCATAGCTAGGCTTCCTCTGTTTTCCTGTGGACAATCTTTTGCTTTCCAGATGAACACTGATGTGAATTTCTTGGATGCAGGGAATCTCCTCCATTTTTAGGAATTTCACACTATGTGACAAGTTTGGGTAAGGGGAAGCAAAACATAAAGACAACTGTGGTATCTGCAAGCACATACATGAATGTGTGTGTAGACAGGGAATGGTGTGTTTTGCTGAAAATGGGATTTTATGTCCTGGCTATTCATACTGGCTACCCCATAGTAATCTACATTTTGCAGCCATCTGTTTTCCATTTGGCAGGAAATCACTTTCCCAATCTCTCCTTCCCATTTTCCTTCCTCCTTCCACAAGCCCTCTGCCTGCTCCTGAGGAGGGATTCATTTGGGAGTGGGGAAAGCAAGAGTTTAATGAGATGTATAATGAGATGCAATAGTTTAATGGGAAGCTCTAATGCACAATGTAAAGGATCTGTTTGCAGCTACAGGGAGGTTTAGGGTACAGAGGGGAAGGAGTATCCCTCATGGAGGGACCTTAGAGAATTTCTCTGGCTCATCAGCTTCCTTTTCTTTTGGTAGATCTCTGTGTGGACTTCTTGAATAGCTCCAGCTTGGACAACAGGACCATACCTGCAAATGCCACCTCCCCTGTGGTTGAGTTTTGGGAGTATGTGATCGCTTTCTCTCTGTTCACATTCTTCATTCAATCAAAGGCCACAGCTGTAGGAATATCCCAGGAGATTTCTGTAAGGTCAGATGAGGTGCAAAGTATCAGACTACGTGGTGAGGAGCACCATGCACTGAACTGACCAGGAGATCAGCAAACAGCCTGGAGGTCTGTGCAACACAGCTGAGGGGCAAGAGTACTAGATACACCCAAAAGGCTCCTTGCACCATGCCTACACCTGGGTGCTCCTGCACACACGTGCACAGGCATGTTCCCTTTCTGGCATGGCAGTATCCATTCAGGTGCTTGGATAACAGAGAGATGCACCATAAGGAAATGAGGGCTTGCTGGAGGCAGGAGGTATGTATTGCAGGCTACTGTTGGCACTCAAGTGTAAGAAGACCAGGACAGACTGTCAAGAGTCCTCTACGGTGAAACAGAGAGCTACAAAACTGTGATTTCCCTTGTTCTGACCATATCGTGCTTGGAGTAAAAGATAAACAGCCCTTCTAGCCAGTCATGTTGCCCAGGCTCACGCCTGGGGAGCACCACTGAAACAACTGGGCCGTGTCATTGAGGGGGTTCAGGAAGGCTTGGCCGTGGTGCTGGGGTAATATAAAACCCCACCAACAGTATTTTTTCATCTATGCCTCTTGAAAATGCCTTAGGCAGGGATGAGTGTCCTTTGTGCTTTTAGCCACTGCAGGGCACAGAAGATGAGGAGATGCACCCATTTGTGCAGAATGAGTCTGCATCGTGACAGATCCCCTCTGTAGCCCTGTTCTCTGCACAAAATGTAGAGCGAGGGCTGTGGTCCCTCTGAAATGGTTGTGTGGGGATTCTGCACAGATTGCAAGGGAAAGGGGCCCCAGAGGGCTTTAGTTTTGAGGAAGGAGTGCATAGGAATGGTGTGTGCAGGACTGGGTTACTGGAACTGTGTGAGTTGCAGTGCTCAGCAATCATGTTACTCGCTTTGGGTATTGGTGAAAATCCAGGGAATGGGGCTGAAGGAAAGGCATGGGATAAAAAAAAGTTGTTTATTCCTATTTATAGGATGTCCACAGTGTATGGGAGACCAGAGTTAGAGAGGTGAGGATGACCTTGGTGGCCTGCTTCGGACTGAGCAGGGTTTACTGGGCAGCTTCCAGGGCGGGAGAGCACTGCAGGGCTGGTGATGATTTTGTGCAACACAAGTCTGAAGGGCAGAGTACCATGAGCTTTAGAGAGCAGGGAGGCTTAGGCTGACTACAGCGCATGGTAGAGCAGCAAGAGTAGCAGAGGGGGGAGTTTATAGAAAGGGCTAGGATAATTTATGTGTCTGGGAGTTCTGGGCGGTTGTATTACGGATAGTCTGTTAGGTCTTTGGGTGGGATAATGTGGGACAGGTGTGTGTGGACAAACGCAGTCTAATGTTTTTCTCCCTGTCCCTGGATGCTGTCAGGAAGCGAGTGCTGAGGCTCACGGATGGTATTCACAAACTGGGCACTGTGCGCTGGGAACTGGCTCTGTGTCTCCTGCTCGCATGGATCATCTGCTACTTCTGCATCTGGAAAGGGGTCAAGTCCACAGGCAAAGTAGGAGCAGAGATCATTCTCCTAGTCCCTAAGTCTTCTTATAGCCTTCTTGCATTTCCTTCCCAATTTCAACCCCTGCCAATAATTAAACTCTTGAGCATGATAGACAAGCTGCTGCCTGTAGCTACCTTGGGCATGTACCCTTCTTGCCTCCTTTTCCTGCACTATTATTTGTGTCTGGGGCTGGGAAAGGTCTGGCTATGTGGTCTTGGGCTCAGCAGTTTACTTTGTACTTTTTTAAATGAGATTGGAGCCAGCGCTCCCTGGTTGTGGCAGATCCCATAAATCAGGTGAACTGGCTATCTTTCTGGATGGAATGAGTGTGTCAAGCCTTGGGGTGCATCTTAGGGAGTTCCTGTGGCCTTGAGTTGTTGAGCACCCTTATCCAGTCTCTGATGGTGGCTCTGGTTCTGGCTCTGGCTTGTGCTGACCTGTCACCCACCACTTCTCATTCAGGAGTGCCAGCGATGAGTCTTGAGCTGGGACACAGCAGGTGGGAACATAACGTCTCAGTGAGAGGGAGAAGCTGCCGCCATGGTGCCAGCAATGTATTCAGAAAACACTAGAGGGAAAAAAGAGGGAGAGCCAGATTCAACACATATGGAGAGGGGATGTTCTGTTTTTCCAATCGAGGTCTCTGATGCTCCCTGTGAGTTGGCTGAAATACTCAGATGGCTCCTGTGCCATCTCCACAGGAGGTATCATTCTGCTTTCACAGACTGTTGAAAGGGTCTGAAAACTGTTTGTCCTGCAAGGAAAGGTAATTGAGCTGTCCCAGCTTCCCTCCAGCTCCTTGTCCTCTTTACAGTGAGTGTCCCTGTTGCTCGGTGCTCCCCAGGCGTGGAGAGCTTGCTGTGCATAGGAGATGGCTGAAGAAGTTCAGTCAGGCTGACTAGGCCAATTTGGGTAGGCGAAGTCAGGCAGAAAGTGAGGGGAAGCAATAAATACAGGTAGTGGCGAGAATGGCTTTCCTAGGACCACAGAAGATTTTTCCATCACAACTTTTAGGATAAAGAACTTAGTTTTTATTAATTAGGCATTATGAAAATGGCGCAGCCATACAAAATGGGCATTTCTGTCCTGAGACATGCCAGACAGGGTAGTTGTCTTCTCTGCATTTTTTTTATCTTTCTTTTTTTTTTTTTTTTGCGATTTACAGGGGTACTGTTAAAACATCGAGATCCTTTCTTCTTTTACCTCACTGACTATATTTGAGGATAAGCAGCAGGGAAGTGTAGCAAAAATTCAGAATAGGCAAATAATTGTGTTTAACAGCTGCAGAATAAAGAGGCGTTGTGTTTGACTGAAAGGCTAAAGTAATCAGCTAGCCTAAGAGGGCCCTGCCTGACCCTTGTGTTTATATTTCTGCAATTTAAGCAGTCAGAACTTAAAGAAACAATAACAGCCATGGGAAAATAACTTAAAATTACTCTGTGAAGACTCATTTTCTTTAAAAGTCATTTTCTTTTATTCATTTTGCCCACTCTTGTGCTCTTTCCATGTTTCTTTTCCTTATGCATTTAGTAGATCTCTATAAATGTTCCCCAGAAGTGATTTCTGAAGGTAAAATTCAGTACTGGTGCCAAAAGTGCTCATATTTTCATTCAGTCAGGGAACAGCAAAAATGCCACGTACTGTGACTTATTCAACCAATTATCACTAAGCAGCAACAGCTTCATTTTAGGCTCCTCACCATGAATCCATAGAATAAACAAGCATTCATATTACTTGATGAATTTTAATAATGAATACATGTAAGGAAGTTACAACTTGCTCATGGATATTTTGCAAAGAGAAAAATGCTAAATTAGGCAATGGATTAGAAATGATTAATTCTACTCTAATATTAATTTACATTACACACAAGAAAAAATGAAAAGAAGCTTTTACAAAAACAATGTTCTGTGTTTTCTTTAAAAGGCCTTGAGATTCCTAGTGCCCTCAATTTTTTATCTGTGCGCTTCAGAGGCACTGAAGAGATGTAAGCCTGCATGAGCATCCTCTAGAAACAAGGCCCCCTCAGAGCTGTTTTAAATTGGGCAGCAAAAGTTGCTATTTAATTTGGAAAACTCTTGCTGAGAGCAGGACCATTTTAATAACTCCTCATTAAAACTCAGCGACAGGAAGAGGTTTGGGCTCCTTTTGCAGCTCCAGAAAGATGAAGAGAACAGCTTGAGATCAGGAAAGTGGCTGGACTGGAAACAAGCAATAGAGCGGAACAACTAGTGGCACAAGCTGGGTGAGGAGCAAAAAGTAGATTAACTAAATCACCAGTGAGAAGTACCCCTGGTTATTTTTTTCCCCGCCCCACTTCCATGCTGGTTGTAGCAAGCACAGTCACCAGGAGAGTCGAGGAACCCTTGCCTGGGGTAGGTGCCTGTGGGTGATGTGTCCACCTCCCCTTCCCTGCTGAGTCTCCTGCCTCTCGTTTCTCCTGCATCTGCAGGTTGTTTACTTCACTGCCACCTTCCCTTACGTGACGCTGGTGATCCTGCTAGTGCGGGGAGTGACACTGCCAGGTGCTGCTGAGGGCATCCTCTTCTACCTGAAGCCAGACATTACCAGGCTCACGGACCCACAGGTGGGTGAGGGATGGAGGGGCTCTTTGAGCTGAGGATCTAGCTGTCTTCTTGGAAAGGATAAGCATAGCAGCGAGACCTCTTAAAAAGAGCTGGGAGGGGGTCTAGTCTCCCTGCACAGCGCAGCCTTTTCGCTGATGTCTTTGCAGCATATGGGCATATTAGGTCATTTCCACTCACGGGCTCAACAAAAACAGAAGAGTATATGAAATATTCAACATGGAACAGATGGTTTTGCTACGTCTTAAATGCAAATAATTAAGGAAAAGAGAGGAGAAAATAATCTACCACTTTTCATTTTTATCTGGCCCCATTACAGCTTTGTTTGGCTCCAGTGGGTCCCTACTAGGGAGCAGAGCCCCTCACTTTAGCAGCCAGGCATCAGCTTTGCATCCCCTCCCAGGGTGCTGGTCCCCCCATTCAGATCAGGAGTTGGCCAGAGGGTACGTCAGCCCCATCACCTACTTGCCTGTGTCTCCTGCTCTTTCAAGCCAGCTCTTTTGGGAGTGATGATAGGATCATAGAGTCATTATGGCTGGAAAAGACCTTTAAGATCATTAAGTCCAACTGTAAACCCATCAGTACCATGCCTGCTAAGCCGTGTCCCTAAGCACCTCATCGACACGTTTCCTGAACACTGCCAGGGATGGTGACTCCGCTACTTCCCTGGGCAGCCTGTTCCAGTGCTTCATCGCTCTTTCCGTGTAGCTTTTTTTCCTAATATCTAACCTGGACCTCCCCTGCTGCAACTTGATGTGGGGTGGGGGTTTGGCAGGGATTTGGGCAGGACGTACACAGGCCCCCAGGGAGCGCAGCATGGGGCTGCTCCAGGCACCTTTCTCTCCCTTCCTCACATGAGCTCGGTGCTGGGCAGGCTGCCTCATCCACCCAGGGGGTGCTGGTGCTGACCCCCTCCTTGAGGAAGAGCATTTAAACAGCTCTGCTGCTAATCACGGCGCCGCTGAATCTTCTCGAGGAGGCAGCCAGCAACATGCTTTGCCTGCAGTCTGAGCCTACCACCCCCATCTTCCCAGATGGCCAAAGCCCCAACTGCTCCCAAACCAGCTGCCAAACACACTGTCTTCCCCCAAATGGCTTTCAGATGCAATTATGCGTTGTCAATACAAAATCTGTGGTGTGCTGAAAACTCGGAGCCAGCTGAACATAAATGACATTTTAATATCAAAATAAATAACAGGGGACTTACTGAGGCCAAGTGTGCTTTATTCATGGTCATAGCTAAATTACTGAAAACCTCCCTATCTTTTAAAGCCTGGGAAAAGCTGACATGGACTTTCCGGGCTGCTGCAAAGCGTAGCAGGACAGAGAGCCTGCTACCGAGTCTAGGCAGAACTTGGGGTTTTGGTGTGAGGCAGGATGCATGCCCGTGTTTGGTGGGCTCCTGGTACGCACATATCTGTGAGGGAGCTGTGGGAATCGAAGCAGCAGTGCCTGGCTGGGATTTTCTAGGGGCTGCCAAATTGCAGCTGCCTGGATATCTGCAGCTGGGGGCTGCTTGCAGGATAAAAAAATAAAAAAAGCAAAAAGGGAGTGAGAGGAAAACAAGCAAACAAACAAAAGGTGGGTTGTTCTCCTTCCTGCCTGCTGACCGACAGGGAAGGGCCTTCCTTGGAAGAGCATGAGAGCCCCCAACATACTGAGTGAAGAACAGACTCTTCCATGGGGAAAAGGAGGATGGAGCACAGGTGAGCCATCTGACTGAGCTTTTTTAATTGTGAAACCAGAGCAGGGAATTGTCATGTAAAGACCTCACTGGCCCTCATTTGATGACTCCTGAGCATTTTTGCTGAGCCCTGTGCCATGGAGGGACCACAGATATGACCCCCTTGTAGTGGCAACTTCAGCTGGAGCCGTGTTATCAGGGATGTTCCCTCTGCCCAGGCTGCAGTGACAAGGGGTGGAGGAGTGGTATCAGGCATGGACCAGCACCCCTGCATCACTCTGAGTGGAACATGCAAATTCAGCACTCTCGGAAGCTTTCCTCTGGAGGACCCAGTTACCTGGGTTTTCCTAGAGAGCCATCTCACTTTCTGTAGGAGCTGTGCCTCTCCATCTCAGGCAGTTTGTTCTGCTGTGATGGAGAGGTGGCTGCTGGACAGGGCCCAGGCACTTGTTTGTTTGGTTGCCTGGGCTGGAAGCCATTGTCCTTTTCTGTTCCAGGTCTGGATGGATGCAGGCACTCAGATCTTCTTCTCTTATGCCATTTGCCAGGGATGCCTGACAGCTCTGGGCAGCTACAACAAATACACCAACAACTGCTACAGGTAAGAGAAGCCAGGACTTTTCACACCTTCACAGAAATTTGCTCATGGGCAAACAGCACAGAGTCACTCCTGAGGCAGGCACTGCCTCCCGGGAAGGCCTTTAGTCACGCTGCTTTTTGTAATGATCTGCTTAGAGTTACCAAGTTGCAGAAGACTCAGCATAGGAATGGAGGGTCACCAAGGTAACACTGGAGCTCCAGAAAATGATATTAGTAATGCTCTCCTGTATGAGTCAGCTTGGAAATGGGAGAGCAGCACTGTGGAGGCACCACTGGCAACCGTGAGGGGGAAAGTGATCCTAAAATCAGAGTAACACACCCTTAACGATATGCTCATCATATCAAGAAGATTGGTCAAATCTGTCTGGCCTGTCTTACTCTTTCTCCCCCTCAATGTTAGGTTACAGATCTACTTTTTCCATGGCCTGACATGAAGCTCAGTGAGGAAAGTCATCAGGACCATTACTGCTAACTTCTTTAGAGTCCCAAAGAGCAGGGGCTTCATTATTCTTTCATGTATTATTCCAACAAGGCTAGAAGCATTTAATGGTGCCTCAGAAAGAATAGTCACCTCCTTTTCCTTCATTCATAAACAGGTGCTGCCATGGCTGCTGGTCAGGCAGTTAATACTTTTCCATGGCTTTCCTGAAATGTATCTGTCACCAAGTGGCTGGTGTGCTGAAGCCTTCATCTAACACTTTGGGTAGCTCTGACCACCAGCTTAGCTCTGGACGGATTCTCCAGCCCAAATGTGCTAGGTGTCTGCACTGCCCATGTCAGCATATGCTGTGGGCTGGCCGTGGCCTCCTGGCTGCCAGGCAGGAGCCCAAGACGAGGGGTTTCTAGCCCAGACAGCTCCGACTGAGGCCCTGTTTTTGCATGAGAGCACAACTGCTTGAAGACAAACGTCATAGCGCTCTCAAGCCTCCACGTGAGCACAGCTCACAGCTAATGAAGACAGTGTAGACACAGCCACTCTCAAGCCTCCACGTGAGCTAATGAAGACAGTGTAGACACAGCCCTTGTCAGGTGATACTTTAGGTTATCCCATTAGTACTTGTCCTAATAGACCTTGTTAACATGCTAGTGTTTCTAAATACTCCTCTGTTTTGACCATATTTACTTTTGCAAACTCTTATTTTCTGTTTTGCTGTTTCCCTCTTTTTCTCTGCTGTTTCTCTATTTCCCTTGAATCCTATCAGTTCTTTTGTTGCCATGTCCCTGTGAACATCATGGTGGCATCCTGCCTACAAGCCATCAGTGGTGTTCTCTGTCCCCTTTTTTGCCACATATAGTTCTCCCGTTCTTGAATGCAGAAGTACAAAGTAGTGGACTCATTTTTGGCTCTGTTCTGCTTTGAGCTATTGACTTTAGAAGTAGAGTTCAAGAGTAGTATTGATATTCCTTGACTCATGTTGTCTGATTAAGGAAGCTGAGTACAGAAGTGACCAAAAGTGGGCTCATTCTGCTCTCCCTCTGATCTCACCTCCTTCCAGGGACTGCATGATGCTGTGTATCCTGAACAGTACCACTAGCTTTGTTGCTGGTTTTGCCATTTTCTCTGTGCTGGGCTTCATGGCTCAAAAGCAGGGTGTACCCATTGCAGAAGTGGCTGAATCAGGTAGGTTTTTTTCTTGTTTCTTTTCCCCAGGAGACTTCAGGGCCAAAGCACAAGAAAAAGCTTGAAGTAGAGGAAACTTTTTATGAACTAGTCTATTCAGTGAAGTCCATGATGTTGTCTACATCCTCTATTGCTGTGGGTGCCTGCATCCAGGATTGCAGGGATCTGTGCTCCCAGACATGGCTTTCAGCCAGTCATTCCCACCTTCCCAGCTGTCACAAACTCTCCTGCATAATGCTTTTAGGTCCTGACCATATTTTAGAGCACAGGACCACGACAAGATGAATTTTAAAGCAGGACATTAAATCACTCTCTGAGTTGCTGGGTGTTGGTGGCAGGCGGTGATGCACGGAACACTCTTGATCATATAGCAATCTGTTGGCAGGTCCTGGCCTGGCTTTCATAGCATATCCAACAGCAGTAACAATGATGCCTGTGTCTCAGCTCTGGTCCTGCCTCTTCTTTCTCATGTTGATCTTCTTGGGACTGGACAGCCAGGTACAGAAAACACTGCTCCCTTTCTAGCTTCGGGGTGCCTCTTTTTTCTTTGAACATCTCCCAAATGCTTTATTTCAGGGCTAAGTGGTGCCCCCAGTTACCTACTTCCATTTAATTTCCTGGCAGCAGGGGATCTCCTCTATGCAATAGCAGTTTCTTGTGCCTTCTCAGATCCGCAATGGGTGCAGTTCATCACTTGTCTCCATATGCCCTATGTGATCCTGCTGTGCAATAACGTGCAACATCATTGAGTTTGAGACAATTCCTCATGTATTTGACAGCTCCTCCCTCCAGAAGTGGCTATATTTTCACCCTTGCAGCTCCAAAGTGACCTTATTGATACCTAGGTTCATTTGGGCCTCCCATAATTGCAGCAGCCCTTTGATGGAAATCAAATCGACAGATGAAAGGAGAAAACAGCATGGGCAGAGCACATACAGCTGTGTCCCTCCTCTTATTATGGTGTCTCCTTTCTCAGGCTTGTTTCTTGCTTGTAAAACAGGCCACATTGTGAAAAAAGGGGGTTGGTTGGCAGGAATAAAAAATGTCATTGAGAGAATAGGTATTTGGGGAGTTTTCACTGCCTTTTCTGACATGATTTCTTCTGCAGTTTGTCTGTGTGGAAAGCATGGTGACAGCTATTATTGACAAGTTTCCGGAAATATTTCGGAAGAAGGGGCGTCGAGAGCTGCTGATCCTGGCTGTTGCAGTTATATGCTACTTTCTGGGTTTGTTACTGGTCACTGAGGTAAGGAATGAATAGCTGTGGTGCATGTGAGCACTAGAAACCCTGGAAGAGTGACCTGGAAGAGAAAGCAAGCCTCTTTGATGCTCTTAATTTTCCTTGATTTCTAATGTATTTGCTAGTTTACTGGCTACTCTCCATGAGAGTCCAGGCTGAATGCATCTAAACCTTGCCTGAGTTAGTAGAAGGAGGTCTCCAGACATGTTCACACGAAGAAGTGGAGGGAAGCTAGCTGGGTGAAGCATGAGCTCCCAGGAGCAGAAGTAACCAAGGTGCAGCAACATGGTGCTGTGCACATGGAGTTTGCCCAGTGGTGGCCAAATACCTCTGTCTACATGATGTTGTGCTGCGTGTACCACGTGTGTACCACACACCTTGGCTGGGGTCCTAGCGCCACCCTGCACTGACTCCATGCACTGAGTAGTGACAGTTAAATCCTGCTAAACCTCTTAGCCACTTCTGAATGATACTTCCACAAGACCCTGATTAAGAATTTGTTTCAGTTCCCAATGAGATGAAGAGAGCTTTGACTGTGTGAAGCTAAATTAAAGGTTTCCATGGCTTTTTTATGCTGCTTCACATAGAGGCATATATTCCCATCGCTGTAGGACATCACATCAGTATGTGGTGGGATGAAGGGGTAAGTGCTCTGTTATTCTGTTAGTGTTTGGAGTCCTTGAGCACCACTGGGAAGCATCTGCTTAATGTATGTCTGAAAGGCTTTCCCTTAGAGAAAACACATGAAAATATGAAATGGGAATCAAATGAGCTGTACCAGTGACTGATTGCAATTAAGCAGGGGTCAAACCAAAGGTGAAGACAGCAAGAGAGCCACATGTCTCTGCAACTACAGAACTTGGACCCCTTGCATGTAGAAATGAATGCAGACTAAAATGAGGTATCTGAACATCCTGATTGTCATCTCATTTTTTTTGGCTGCAAAGATCGGAACAGCCACATAGCATTTTGAAAGGGTTATAGAAACTTACTATGTGATTTAAAAAAAAAAAACAAAACAAAAAACTGCTCCTATTGACATAGAAAATAGCCAATATCAGCAGTGCTTTCCTGGCACCTGGTCTGACTATTCTTTTGGGACAGGAGAGCTCCTAGTGTGGTCAGTTCCAAGAGAAAGCTGTTCTCCTTCTCCCGTCTGCTTTTGGTGTAGTCTTTCTGTTGCTATGCCCCTGCTTGTCTGAGTATTTTCTCCCGTGGAATAGTCCTGCCATGCCTCTCTCTTTTCTAACTCTCCTACAGGGGGGAATGTACATCTTCCAGCTCTTTGATTATTATGCTGCTAGTGGTACCTGCCTGCTCTTTCTGGCCATTTTTGAAGCCATCTGTGTTGGATGGGTGTATGGTAAGTGGGACAAAAAGCTTGTGTTGCTCCTTTTCAAGGGAAGCATTTTGGGGGATGGAGGAGGTGGATGAAAAAGACTCATCCTCTCCCTGAGGGGACATGTAATTACCTTTCTTCTTGTTTGCCTTGCAATGTGTTTGCTCATGATGTTTCTTCACTGTTCTACATTTAGAGTAGGAATGATTTTTTCCTACTCTGAAGCTTCCCCCTATTGCCTTACATTTGATTTAGAGAATAAGCTATGGAGAAATGACTGTTGCTTTTCAGTCTCTTTATCTCTTGCAGTCTCCTTATATTGCTTGCTCATTTTAGCCCTGTCAGTTCATTCAACACGAAAAGCTGGCATGCAGGCTCTGCTATGTGTTACTTCCCATAGCACAGGCTGTGAGAGCAGTCCTAAGAGAAACAGGTGGAGCTGATTTGGCTCTAGGCAAAGACTGTAACTAAACTACAGACCTGCTCAGAAGCAGGTTTCAAACTGACCTCCGTGAACCATCAGAAGAAAACCAAATGCTTACTAGAGAGTGTAGTAGGAAGAATATCCCGTGATATCCTATGGGAGATCTCTGGCGTGCCTAGCAGTGTTTGAGCAAACAGAATGCAGTTCATTTTGCTGAAACATGTATTGAGATTATTAGGTCCCAGGTTTCATCCTGAATGATGAAAAGTAGCTACCCTCTCCTTGGCCTCACGAAGACACAGGAGCACTCTGTCTGTAAGGACTGTATAAAGCTCTAGCAGTTGCCCACTTAGATCAGTCTGTCAATCTACACAGTTCAGCCTCTGCTGACTTCTGCTGGGCAGTTTATCCATCATAACCTAAAAAAAGACTGCAAACAAGAATTCCATGTTAGGTCTCTTTCAATGGTCAGCAATGGCTGTCCAGGGAAGATTGCAAGAGTAGAGGAAGCGGCAATGATATTCTTCCAGCTGCTAGCAACTTGTGGCCCAGGGATTTCCAGAGTCATAAGAAAGATCTTGGTATTTATTTCTCTCCTGTGCATTTGTCAGGCTGACTCAGATAAACATTTACCATCCACAGAATCCTGCAGCAAGTTTCACAGCTCTTTTTTATAAGCAATGTGAATAGTCACTCTTTCTTATTTTGAACCTTCTCCCTGCTAGTTTAATTTCATGTTGCCTATGTCTTGCATTAGAAGAGACAGTGAGCAATGGATCCTTGTATGCACTCTTTGCCACTTAGAATTTTATAGAGGATGCAATGGCTGTAGCACAGCTGTTGATGAAGGAGGTATCATGTTCTCCAAACACTTCATGTACATCAGGAACCAATTGCTAGCCTGGACAACCTTCCTGAAATGAGAGCAGATGCAGTGCTTGGCAGGGACCTCCAGGGAATGCAACAGAAGCATCTCTGCAAGAAAGATGCATCCAAGAGAGGTCCTGAAAGAGAAGCTCCCTGAGTGCTTGTGATACCAGATGCAGGCCATATTTAAACCGAGAGTCTCCTTCTGCTCAGGCCCCATAGGATTTCTAGGGAGATGGAGATCTCCTCCCTGCTGTGACAGGGCTTCTTCATCACCACACGGATTACAGTTTAATGTGCACAACAAGCCCTGCCCTTGTTACGATTGCACAGGCCTCATTTCTCCCCCACTGACCAGCACAGATAAATAATGGCAAAGAATTAACAACAAGAGGGATAATGCCACTTCAACAGCATGGGAGGCGGATGGAGCAAAGGCGGGGGTGAGAAATGAGTCATTACCTCAGCACTCTGTATGCATTTGCCCCACTCTGCATGGTGGGGCTTTGCCCTCTTGACGTTCTGCTTTGCATTCATTGGCCTGATGCTGGGCTGAAACATAGTCAGCAGGCTAAAGAGGGGCATTTTAGTGGAAAAAAACATCCCCGGTGCCTCTTAATGGGATTTCTTCAGCCTCCGAATTGGCAGGACTGAGCCTCTTGCTTACACTGTGAAAAATTACAGTGTTTTTACAAACACAAATATGCGCTATGAGTTTCCCCTCTCCCAGCACATACGGCAACCACCCACTGCTTGGCAGCTTCCTTCTGCCTGTCAGGCAGCTGCTGCTACAAAGATCTGAGGATTTCCTCACATACTGCTCTCCTTCTGCGGCATAAAACCTGCTGATCACGTTTGCCAGAGTGAAGTGCTGGAAGCTTTTTTTTTTACTTTTCCCCTCTCCTCTCGCCCCTCCGCTTGGGAAGACCCAGCCCTCACATAAGCAGGCACACTTTCTGAGCACTAAGATCTGCAGCATGACGCCACCAAAATGTGCTGCGGGGAGGATATTTTTCAGGTAGTCACAGCACGCACATTAGGATAAGCTGCTCCAGGAGAAAGCTGGTTTTCCCACTACTGCAGGAGGGCTGAGGCAGGAGCCATCACACCTGCATAGAAATCTAGAGAAAAACAATGCCAGCGGGTGCTGGTGGGTCACCCCCAGGGTGAATCCTTGTTGAGATGTTATAAATCTTTCTCTCACAGTCACACGCCAAGAGGCTCCTAGGATCTGTGGTCTCCATATTCAGCTGCATCCTCCTAGTGCAGCTTACACAAGCAGTACTTGCATGATGCTGTCTGATGCAGCTGCCAGAGGTAATCTTACACCCTTGCTTATGGGTCATAAGGGGCCCACTCTGTGCAGCTGGTACCCAAAGGGTGAGTGGTTGTTGCAATGCTGTAATCCTTCTGCTGGCACTATTTTGCACAGGTTTGGCACAGGTGTTGATGCTGCACATTTGATACAGTGAGGGAGCAGATAGAGGCTTAGCACTAAGGCAAAGAGCCAAGGTCATTACCTATTGAAATCCTGTGGATGAAATTCAATATAGATGAATGCAAATAAATGCAGCTTGGGAGTAATGATTTGAAAGGCAGAGACTTTTACGTTCCAAAATAACAGTTCAAACAGATTGTATTGAGAAGTATTTCCTCCAGTGTATACTTGATCTGTGAAACTTCCTGTTGCTGGATAATGTTTGAGAAAAAAAAAAAAAGAAGAAAAAAAAAAAGAAGAAGAAATGGTGCCTTTCAGCTTAGATAATAGCAGTAGTTGTTGTAAGCTGCCTAAAATGAGACGGGTTCTGTAAGGACAAGACATAAGAACATTAAGCATATCTTTACCTGGGTGAGTGCAAAATTTATTCCCATGAGTTTTTGTTCCCAAATTTAATGATTTGCCAGGAAATGATGTGACATTTTTAAGAGTGTATAAGCTTAATAAGCACAAGAGAGGTCATATTAACATTCATGTAGCAACTTTTGCATTTGGGGATACTGTAGAACAAGCATCTAGGGTAAACATCTTTATTCCAACAGAAATCTTTTGGGGGAAGTCTTTAGGGCATTCCCTGCGGTAGCTTTATCTAATCCTTCTAATGTGCTGGAAAAGAAGAGGGAATACATGAGTCTTCTGGCTTCTAATTTGCTCAAAAGGCCAATGTTGACTGATTGAACTGATGACATCTTAAGCTTGATTACTTTTTCATCTGCCTGTGAAATGTAGAACATGTGAAAACCTCCTGTTCATATACTCTTTGAGTCCATTCACGTCAGGTCCCATTGTGCTTTACTACATCATCTGCTGCCTACAACCCTGGCAATGGAACAGCAGGACACGGTGGTTGTACTGCAGCAAGCAGGGATAAGGACAGATGGAGGCTACTGCACACTATAACTAATAATATATGATTCAGTTTGTTTGGGTTTTTTTTGGAGCAGGATGGATGTCTGCTATGTCCTCCTTTTTGTTTAGTCTCTTTGTATTTTTCTTTAACTGCTATGTCTCTTCTAGTAGATCCTAAATCCAAAATTTGTGATGTTTGACTTCAACAGCATGGCATTGTGAATGATTTTATTCATCATCTATTTAAAATTACAGTGTCTTTCTCTGGAAACAGTGGTATCATTTATATTCCTCTGTCTTTTTTTCTCTAGTTCATGGAACATTTGGCTTTTTGACAAAAAGATTTTTTTTATATATCAACCCTCTTTATCGCCAACATATTTGCAGAAATACTGCTGAGGCTTCATGGGATTTACAGCATAGTTTAAGTTTATAGTTCTAGGGTTTTGTTCTCTGGTGCAGGTTCTCTCACAAGACTGTATTATTTCCCTTGATTTGCCACAACTTGTACTTTCCCGGGGCCTACTTGTTCACTTACAGACTCAAGATGGAAACCATGAGGTGTTAAAGAAGTCTGTATTTCCAAACTATTACGTTAGATTCAGAGAATAATGAAAAAAATACACAAAAGAAAGACAAAGATAGAATGCCTTTATAGAATTCACACATTTAAAGCAAAGGTAATACTTGGACTTAATTCTGAAATGCAAAGAAAGGAAAAAAAAATCCACTAAGCCCTCAAAACTAGCAAATGTGACTAGTCTGGTAGGCATATGTTTATGGTCCAGTCATCAGATGTTAAAAGTTTTATCAGATATTAAGGATCTCATTACACTTCCAGGTGGGAAATTTGACATGACCATGAGTTCAATGCCAGAGGAAAACCCTCACAGAGGCAGAAGTGTGTTTTGTCAGTTAAGTACTCTGATAAAACTCCACTAGGAGGAACATGACATTATTTGATATTAGAAGGTACTTAACTGGTGACTCTCTAGACAGGTTTTTGTCTAATATTGTTACCTCATTTTACCCAAGGCAGTCTGGTCTTGTACCTCTGGTTAGCTCTAGTTAGGGTGAACTGGGTATGCCACCTTATGGATGGTTCTTTTATCCTTCATTTTACATCTCTTTTTGGCCAACCTTATTATTTTATTGCTAGATAACATGCTAGAGCTTACTGAAAGGTCTGCTAAAGTCCATTTGCATTAGATCATCTCCTCTGTATACCATTGCACACATTTCCTGTTTGTGTTTTGGGTTGGGAACAGTCAGAGCTTAGCACAGATAGAGTTTGGTCAGCGGGACTTTTGCTGATTTTCAGAGGTATTTAGCATCCAGATGCATTCTGTGACTCAGGTTGATGAAGCATATGTAATGTAGTGAGTGAGGCTAATGGGAAGAGAAAGAGATCAGACTCTCAGCAGACAACTCTAATTTGGGCAAGACAGCAGCAATGCTTGCAGACAGAAGATTTGGTTACCAGCAGTGTTTGGATTGCCAGATTTTCTTTTGATAGGCAAAAAGTGAAGCGGTCTTTGGAAAGCATACTCTTGATGACAAGAAAAATGTCCAGTCCAGTGGGGATTCTTGACCTGAAATTCCCTTGTGGGCCAATCTTGTTACAGGACAAGAATTTATTTGTTGTCCTCTACTTTCTTCCTTCCTTTCAAAATTTTGCACTCATGCATTTCCACATGCTCAGCCTGTGAGAGCTTTCCCTTACTGAGCTGTGCCCAAGACATACCTGCTTACTTATGCCAGGCATTAGTTCCAGCAGCTAGTGGTGCAACAGCTGCATCATCCTTCTTACAGCTGCTGCTGTGTGTTCTTTTATATCAAGCTTTTTGAAAAGTTATGGATGGTTTTGAAAAGTCAAACACCGCCATCTCCATCAAGCATTAAAAATGGGCATTTTAAATGCCAGAAAAGCCAATTTCCTGATGTTGAATTATTAGGATGGCCACTTTTTAAAGAGAAGAAACATTAAGGATAATGAACTTCGGGATAAGTAGCTGTGAAGTAAAACAAAGCAAATTTCACCTGCTCATCTCTGTCTCTTTTCTGGCCAAGGTGCGGACCGCTTCTATGACAACATTGAGGACATGATTGGTTACCGGCCATGGCCCCTGATTAAGATAAGCTGGACAGTGTTGACCCCAGGCATGTGCCTGGTAAGTACCTGCAATTACAACAGTATGGAGTATTAACACTGGATTTCTAGATTCATAGTAGAAAAGGTTGATTTGTTTTCAAAGTGCTGCTGTAATTTTATCAAATTACTATGGAGAAGCATAAGTTGATCCACAGTTGAAGCTGCAATTTGTTTCCTTTGTAAAGTCCTATCTTTTGCCCAGAAAATTAATTGAGGTTGAAAACTCTCTTATTCACTGTGATGGCAAAGGAAAATGTATCCTCAAAGTGTGAAGAGGTTTGGTCAAATTACTTCTGAATAGAAGACCAGTGAGAATTATCCTTTTCTGAAATGCTTGCTTCAACCCGTGTTTTTGTGCCCTCCTGTGACTCAGAAATATCTTTCTATAGCCATTTGATTTATATTTTATGAAGCCTCTTTGAAAACTTTTGTGACAACTCTATTTAAAGAAAATGCACCCTGCATCAGGCAAGTTCTTCCCTGTTTTGGATTTACGTTCAGTCTTGCTCCACTGATTTTTACATGATCGCTAAGTCAAATTCTGCTCCTCTGTCTGATGTGGACAGTTGTTTTCTTTGACCTCAGTGGAAATGTAGAGGGGATCTTTTATTGTTTAGAGAAGATTTCTGCTCAAAGCTAGTGCCTGATCTATCCCAAATTGTCTGAGAGGTTTGTGGTTAGAGGGCCCAAGAGTATGTGCCCAGGTAGTACTTCTGGAGAGCTTCTGAAAGTGCCAACACAAAATCCTGGCTTATCAATGTCTCAGCTGTTGCCTCAGAGTTGTTGGACCCTCAGAGTTACTGCCAGCTTTGCTTAGTTCCATCTCAAAGGAAACCTGAAGGCTGTACTTGCTGAGAAGCCTGGCCCTGGCTCTGAGATAGCTCCTAGCACAGTCAGTATGCACCAATCTCTGCTCTGCTCTAGCTAGTAAGGTGCACGATGGCTCTTGCTAGACAACACAGTTGTTATTAACTAGACTGGGCTTCCAGCTTGGTCAGACTGCCTGTCTCCTTTTGCCCCCTTTGCTCTGGCTGTGTCTGTGTTCTTTCCTCCTCAGGCGATCTTCCTGTTTTCTCTGATCAAGTACACACCCTTGAAATACAACAATGTCTACGTGTACCCACCCTGGGGCTATGTGTTGGGCTGGATGATGGCACTGTCCTCTATGCTCTGCGTTCCTCTCTACGCCATCTTCATTCTCCTGAAAACCAAGGGACCCCTGAAGCAGGTACGGAGATCATGGTCAGCAGGCAAACTGATGGCACAGGGCACCCGTCTTCTTCCAGAACACTCATGGGAAGGGCTTCAGGAAAATGCACATAACACATTCCTCCATCGAGAAGGCATGGCATGGGAGTGACCCTGCCCCAGAATGCCCAACAGCTCCTGATGATAATCTGGGAGGGTTTGGGGATTCTCAGCACAGCCTGCAGGAAGATCATCAAACATCCACCATCTTCTGTGGGATGTCAGACCACCACATTTGGTGCACTATGTAGATATATGCAGAATATCTCTAATGCTCATTCCACTGGATAGCAGAGTATTCCCTCAGTGTGTGCAAAGCCAGAGTGGCTGAGAGCTCATGGACGCATTTATCTCATCCCAGTGTGGAGAAAGTCCTGGGCATTGGGAGCCTGAGCAGGGGAGCATAACAAGATGGCATAACATAGTCTTTCTTTCCTCCTCCTTTACTGATTTGTACCACGGCAAACCACATGTAAAAACAGGTACTGGTCTGCCTTTACCTTTTGTCTCTTACCCCTGCTCCCTTTTTAGTCCTGGGTCAGGACTGTATTGTCCTGTACGGGCAGAGATACATTCTCTGAATGAATGACACATGGCTATTAAAGAGAAAATACTCATGTAGTTATAAAAGTCTACTCTGGGTTACGCCATGCCTCTCTTTCACTGTGAGCATCTTTTCACACCTCTGGTAACGTCCTAAGAAGAATTGTGCCTGAGAAAATGAAGTCATGGAGATGTAACCCATGGTTGATGGAGGAGGACCAGTGTTACATGAGGGACAGTTCATTTTCAGCACAGTTTCTCTCCATGTCTTCCACCCAACCACTGATTGCAGGCTTGATCGTGGGTGAGGGCTTGTAGGGGAGCAGGGATCAGGAATGTCTCCGTGTTCATGGCAAAGGCATGCCAGTGACATGGGAGATGTGTGGAGAGGAGGACCTGCTAAGGTTGGGTGTGGGATGTCCTCTTTGGCTCTGCCTCCTCAGGGAAGGTGAATCTGTGCTCATGAGGGCTCCTATTTACTGTCTGCGAACTGTGACTTAACAAGGGGTGACAGGCTCTGTGGAAGAGCAGGCTAATGTCCACCCCAGGTTCAGAAGAAGTTATGAGGCAATGCACAGAGGCAGAAGAGGGAGAAAAGCCTTCAGAGAAACAGAGAGAGAGGCATGAACAATGCAGGCAGAGATATGTAGGAGAATGGCAATACAAAGAAATAGGCTCCTAGCTCCCTTTGACTGTCCAGCCTCCTGGTTACTGCTGTGGTGAGATGAGGGTTTGTGGGGAGCCCAGAACTGTGCACTCCAGGAGCAATGCAGCCACCTCTGTCAGAAGCACCTTGGAGAGGCCAGAGCTCTGCCGTGGGGTCTGTCCCGGTGGCTCCTGGCCTCCTTGGCTATTTGTTTGACCTCACTTCTCATCCATGGGAGTGTAGATAGCAAAGGCACTCCAGTACCCGGATTAACGTAATGCTGCCAGAGGACCGTACAGCCTGCTGTAGCTTTTGGACCAACTCATTTCAACTCAAGTCAAGTCAAGAGGGACTTAAAAAGACCCTGGAATAGTAACACTGGTATATAAACATGTACAAAGCTGTATTAGCCCAAAAGGGTCTCTAGTCAAGGACATACTGAGGTGTCACCCATGTAATCCCCTTAAAAAAGGGCTTAGTGTAAGGCTAATGTAGTGGCACCCTGAAAAAAAAAATTCCCTTGGCAATTGAACACTGCTTTAAGGAAAAGCGCTCAAGCACTCTCACTTCCAATACTCTTCCATTTGGAAATGTAACCTCCTAATATGAGAAAGTCCAGGTGATTTTTTTGCCAAGTTTCTGCAATACTACTAGCTTCAAGCTTAGATCTTGAGTCTTGTTTCTTATAACCCTCTCCTGTGCTCAAGGCCATTTAGTTGTAATACATCTTCCCATTCCCACAGCCGGTTTGAAGAGCTTGACCATGCAGCTGATAACGTTGGACTCTCCACAGCTCAGAGGTTTCATATGTCTATATGAGGACTCAGAGCTGTCATTGAAATAATGGTCTAAATGTCCCACCTGTTAAACTGGCAGTATTTTTTCACCTGTGGCAAACCGCTTTGAGTCCTTGGACTGAAACACTGCTATGAATGCCTATTTTATGGCTCATCCAAGGGACTGATTTGACAATTTCAGGTTAAGAGTTTTTCTATTTTCCCTGCTTTAGGTGATATTAGGTGTAATTTCCAAGAACTTTACATTTACTCTATATTATTATGAAGAAACTCTCAAGGACATGGTTTAGGAAAGCAGCCTGGACTGATTCAGGGGACAATAAAAGCAAATAGTGCAATATATTTTGGAATATTTTTTCCAGTTTTGGTTTTGTTTCCAAATTCTACCTGTTCTTTTTTTCCACTCATGCACCACAAATGTAATAAATTATTTTGCTGACACAAACGCTTCAGGGTATAGTCCATTTCAATTGAATATTGCAAACCATTCACCGAAAGCAAGTTTGTAATTGGTAATTATAACCACTCACTGCAACAAACTGATTCCTCTTGTTACACTTGGCTGACCAAGAAACACAAATGTTGTTTCTTAATGTGTCTGATTAAGACAGCTCAAGTTCCAGACACTGAAAATGTGCAATGAACTGCTCTCAGAGAAGCTTTAGGCCATGGCTGATATCAGAAATTATGGGGTAAATACTTTTGAATAAATGAGAGGAATCCTGAATTCTAGCAGGTGTTTCACCAGGAGTGGGAGTATTTGAAATGAATCAGATGAGTCGTGGATGAATTGCCTGCTTCAGCTTGCAATGTGCGCTGTAAGTGAGGAACGTACACTGGCCTAAACAATGTGTGAAGGGAAAAGTTAGTAACTGTGGAAGTTAGTATTCATCAGGGAAATGATGTGCTGCCCCATGAAGCTGGGCAAGTAGCTGCAGGACACAGCAGGTTACTGCATTGCAACAAGGGTCTCAGGGTTTCAGGAAGGTTTGTGGTGCCAGAGGGGCTTCCAAAACAAAATGAGAAAGATCAGAAAGTCATAGATGCTGTCTTTGCAGGCTGAGAAAGATAATGTAGCACATATCACCCAAATAGCTCCAGCTCCGAGTTCTTTACATTTTTTTTTTTAATGATAAACTGCCCCAAAAGCCAGTAATTTGGGACAGCATTGCAGGGCAACCCCCCTGCAGCAAGAGCTGCATTGCAGAGGACAGGGACAACACTGCTACCCTGGCAGATGTAGCCATGCCCAGGAGGCATGGTGCGAGCTAGTGTGGGGCTGGACAGGTAGGTACAGCACCAGAGTAACATCTGTGAGCCTTGTTCTTCCTGGGGAGAAGGGGTGAGGGGATGAGTGCTGTGATGGTCCCCTGCCTCCGAGTCCTGCCTGCCCACCATGGTTCATGGGGCTGCAAGAGGGGAGCAGAGTTGGTGCCATGGGACATGAGCTCCTCAACGCTGGGAAGGCAATGCTATACCCAGGGAAGAATGCTGGGGTGGATAGCACCATAGCATCTGCTTCATGGGAGCTGAAGCAAGGCGGGAAGTCCTTTACGATCCTGACTTTTCTGTTGCTTCCACACCGAGCAGTGGATGAGCAGCTCTTTGGATGGGCCAGACCATTTTGAAAGCTCCACAGCTCCACCAAAGTCAGTGCGAAGTACTGCTGCTTGGCGTAAGAAGACAAATTGAGGTTTACACAGCTTTTGCCACGACCACAAAAAAAAATTGTCTGTGGTGAAAGCAGGGGACTAGAGGCCATGCTAGCTAACCACTGGCATCCTTCCTCCCAGAAATATGTCTTTGAGGAGCCCAGTGTCTTGTTAGATCATCATGCCATGGTGTGGCTTTGAGCCCAGAGGTAGAATAATTATCACTGAGACCCCTTCAAGGTAGGAAAACAAGCCTGCTCTCTTGTACAGCTATTCAGTGGGAAAGGAGCAGGAATTTGGTAGCATTAGCTTTCCAGATGCCTTTGCCCCCAGCTATTGTTGTGGATTGCTATTGGGTGTCACTTTGCTTATCAGCTTAATTAATAGAGATTTCCTCTCTCTGCCTGCCTCTCTACAGCGGCTAAAGCAGCTCGTTTGCCCGGCGGAGGATCTGCCCCAACCAAGGAAGCATGTGGCTGGAGTGCTGGAGCTCTGGGACGGCTCTCAACCAGAGCACAAAAGACTGTCCCCTCCCGCCAAGGAGGTGCTCGGCTTCGTAGAGAGAGAAACCCACTTGTAAAGAACTGGGGATCGTCTCCTTCATATTCTGGATTGTTTCCTTCTTTCTGAAGCAGTTTCATTTCTCTCCTGGGCTCTCCCCTTCTCTCCTTCACATCAGAGATAGAAGTATCTGGGACACCCTTTCCTTCTGGCTGGCTGGTGATGTGGACTGGGCCAGCATTTCTTTTGGCACCTTGGAATGGAGCTCCCTGTCAGCACCTGGACAGAGAGCAAAATGATTTTTGTCAGAGGTGTCCTCCAGTGCTGACACTGGGGAAAAAGAGAAAAGCAAAAAAGCTGTATATCAACCAAAAAGAAAAAAGATGTGGTCATGCTGGGGGAGAGGAAAGGAAACCGCAGTGGTAAGAGAGGGCAGAAAATAAAGGTGTGCAGGAGAAAAGCCAGAGATGCGGTGGCACAAAACCACAGGGCATTAGCACAGGGAATAAGTGAGTTGGTTCAGAAGTGCATAAGAACCTGGAGGATGACAAAGGAAAGTGCACTGCTAGGTCACCTGTGCAGAAGGGAGAGGGAGCCAGCAACATATCACAGGCAATGATAAAAGGGCTAAACTACAGCATTAGTAGTTACGGCTTCGGTTGTCACTAAAAAGGAAGAGAGTGACAGAGTGCTTAATGTAATCATAGTTATTGATGAAGGATCTCAAGGCAGTCTCAGAATGGAAAGGGATGAGGAATAGCTGTCTAGGTGACTTGCTTTATTCAAATCTATATGGTCCAGTGAAAATGCATCCAAGAATGAAATAGCTGAACCTTTGACCGTTCTTTCAGAAAAATCATGGAGTGCAGGAAATGTCCCAGACCAGTCAGTTAAAAATGAACTGCGGCACAGAAGGGAGAAATGAAACCTCAGGGACTGCACACCCACAAATTTAACTGCATTTCTGGGGCATTTTATAGAGGATTTAATAAAGGAGTTGATGGGCCCGATTCTTACTGTAGAGTAGCTTTAAGGCAAGGGTGGGAGAAGGATTTTTCTCCCTGGCCTGTGCTGTGATGACTCAAGGGATAAGGAAGACAGATAATCGGGCACAATGATCATAAACTCATGAAAGATAAAGGGATAATTAATAGGTAAGATGGGTTCATCGGAAACAGATTGTGTCAAATTACCCTGCTAGGGTAGTCGTGACCGTGACGCAATGCCTGGGAGGTCTTTCACTTGAATACAGCATTTGGTGCAGTTTTACACAACATCGTCCTGCAGAGACCGGGACTTTACACAGCGCTGCTGTAAAATGCAGTGCCAAAGCCTGCTTGAGCGCATATTGGAATTGCATAGTTAAAATCACAGGAAAAGCCGATGATAGGATCTCCTCAGGACCTTTAATGTGGTCTGTGGAACACATGCCAGTGGATGGCTATGTTGCAAAAATGGCATATCAAAACATGCAGGAGAATTGCCATTAAAAAGAATCACAGATGCCATAGGCTCCTATCCCACTTCTCCTTTACCTTGTTCCTTGTTCCAAGTAATTACTCGTCTCTGTGCTACGTGTAGATAAACCACCAGCACTGAATGTAAGTGGGAAATTCAGGCCTCATCTGTGCAATGCAGTACCTTTCCAATTGCTATGGGAACCTTATCTTTTGCAATTTTCTGTGCATTTAACTGGTGAATTAGTACAGGGCAATTTCCCCCTTTTAATTTCCTTCATTAAAAATTAAAAGTAAAAATTGCTGGCAAAATGAACACTAAAAGGCAAGTATCAAAATTCATACCTCTCTGGGATATTGTAAATTGATTGGAGATGATTTACAATAAACACAGAGATAGCCAGCAAACTTCATTCTTGATTCCCTTCAAAGGACTGCAGCATCACATAAGACACTATTTATTTTATTTTTAAAGCACTAAATGTCATGTTTCAGCAAAATTTGAGGGAAGAGCTTAAAATCCTTGGGCTTGCAGTCAGGTCTCATGGTAAGTATTTTGTTTGTTTCCCCTCTCCCTTCTAGTGGCTTTAGCCCATCAGATGTTGGGTGTGATGTTGCCCATGATTTGCTGGCTCCTCACATGGCCAGAACAAAAGCCAGCAGCTGCCACAGCCAGGGCCAGGCAGGGTATTGGTTTTGAGAAGGAAAAATTCTTCTGTTCTTCAAACAATAGAATGAGAAGTTAAGGCTTGGGATTGAGACTAGGCCTTCCTGTAGGATTATTGTGTAACCCTGGCACAACATTTAACCCCTTTAATCCTGTTACCATGCCTTTAAGACGTACGGTAGTGCCATATTGCAAGCGTGCTTGGTGAGATGTGTTCAGTCCTTTTTCTGAGCTAATCTCATAATGCTGCGAAAATCGTGGATGAAATTAAATGACTTCACACCTTTTTTTTTTGATGCAAATGTGGAGTTGTGCTATTGAAAGTAACTGCTATATGAACTAGTTCCTCTGTTGCTTATGTATAACCTGATAGTAGTGTCCTACCCTTTCTAGAAAGGAGCTTATTTGAACAAAGTTAGAGGGGGCACAGCTGTCCCCATTAAAAGCAATTACAAGTTTCCCAGGATCAGGAAATTCATCCAGTCACTTTGGTTGGGATTGACAGAATCACAGGGTGTTTCAGAAAAAGCTCAATGACCCAGGTGCCCAGTTTGAAAAGCAGGGAAAAAAAAAAGAAATCCCAGCTTGCAGGGATTTAAACTCTGCAGGAAGAGTTTAAACTTGCACAGACATCTCCATAGGCATTGCTGGAGACCTCTGAATCTATCTGAAGGAAAAGTGCTCCCTTTCTACACACCACCGGTTTGCAAACACAGTTAAAAGGGATGGTGTTGAGTGAAGAGAGAATTTTCTCTCTAATTATTGATGCTAGCCAAAAACTAATGCATTTAAAGCTGAAGTAGAAGAGAAGATACGAGGTAGCTGTTCTCTGCTGTTCCTAGTAGTGAGACGAAAGTCTTTGTCTATAGTAGAAAGGACACACATTCTTCAAGCACCTAATTGTTGGGAGGATGCTTTTGTTTTTGCTTTGTTGTTGTTGTTTTATTTTTTAACTACAAAGATCCTTCCGCCCTCTTTCCAGAAAGGAAAAGAGCAAAATCTTTTGTTAAGAAATAAAAGAATCCAAAAGATCTTGAATTTTCTTTCCCCTTGTCCTTCCACAAAGATCCGTCCGCCCTCTTTCCAGAAAGGAAAAGAGCAAAATCTTTTGTTAAGAAATAAAAGAATCCAAAAGATCTTGAATTTTCTTTCCCCTTGTCCTTCCCTCATTTTGTTTCTTTCCATTCCATTTTTCCTGCTCCCTCCCCTTCAGCCCTCACTACCTCCTTTTACAGGGGCAAATGGAAAAATGAGGAGAAGGAACTACTAGCTGCAAACTTTTACTGAAAAAAAAACAACCTCGAAGAAAGAAATACAAAACCAATGACAAACAAGCCAAACAAGATGTTGATTGGTTGGTTGTTGTCAGCAGCATTAGTGTTTCAGTTGAGCCTGGACCACAAGAGGAGGCAGGGATTTTCAGGGCTGGATAGCCATGCTCTAGTCAGCACGTTCTTGCCCTCTGCTGCTGCTGAAGCCTTGCCTTTACTTAGGGGGGCAGGAGGACTCCTGAGCTGCCCAGGATGGGGTAAATCCAGAAAGCAGCCTGCTCTTGAACTTATGTGGAAACTGCAGTGTCCTGGTGAGGGTGTTCTTCCCTGCAGGCCTGCCTAGCCCAGCTGAACATGAGGGCACAGAGATGGCCAGGGACCAGTGCTGGTTGGAAAGGCCTTGTTGCCACATACTTGAATGAGCCCCTTCCCAAGTCCTCTTTGTAATTTTGTTTTTGTTCCTGTTCCTAATGGAAACGTGTAATTTCTGAGTCTCTCATCTTAAAAACTCAACAAAATAAGGGTGGTTCATGGCCATGGCCCAATCAATCTCTCTAATGAATCAATCTCTCCTACACTTGGGTAAGATAAAGAGAAGCCATGACATCCTTGAGGCAGCCCTGGGACTGAGCTGGCCCAGGAGCCTCCCAGACAGCCTCCTTGTTCTCTGCAGGCCATGGATGGAAAGGTGCTACAAGCCAGGCTGGCATCTACAGCAGGGGAAACAGTAGGGGTTGCATTGGAGTAAACGGGGCATTTTGCTTGTGGAAAACCTATGCAAGAGCAGTTGAGACCGATTCCTCAAATGACAGCAGTCTTAGCTCGTGCTTGTGCTATGTGAGTTATGCATGTTCTGTCTGCAGCCGTTGTGTGATTCAGGTTGTGGAGTGTGCTGGGGCTGACATAAATGTTTGCTGCTCCAGGTATGTGAAAGGAGCGTTTGGTGAATTAGTTTTGAAGGGAGCTTGGCCTTATCCAGGCAGCAATAAGAGACATTAGCCAAATGTCTTGGGTGCACAATAAGGAAAAGTCAGCAAACAGAGCAGTCTACATTCAGGAAGATATTGAGAGCTTTGTGTCATCTTGTTCTTTGTTTTAGTAGTTTACGTGCACTCAAATATAGCTCATCTCTGTCCTGAAGGCATAGGCGCTGCATGTCTACATACAGAGCAAGCATCTCCCAGTACCCAGCAAATTTGTTTGCTCTGACTACGGGTCTGGCTGAACTGGAGAAACAGAGAAGATTGTTGGGGTTTGGAGACGTGACCCGCTGGGACTGTTGTGGAGCTGCCTGTCCCCACTGTGAGTGCCCAAATTCTGCCGAGGACCCCCACACAAAGAAGGGTCCTTCCTGGGAGGAGGACTGTCATCTCCTTGGTAGGAGCCACCATCCAACTGGCACCACGCTTGTGCTGAGGATACTCCTGCAGCAGAGGTCACCTCAAAGAGCAGGAAGATGGTGGTTGATTCACACAGATAGCTGTGTGTACAGTTTGTGTTCTCCAAAGGGACTCCATGATAACCCGCCTGCTGGGCATCAAGTGAGGAATGGGCTGCTGGGCTCTTAAGATGCCTCAGTAGGTTGCTTGTGAGTGAGGGGGACGACCTGCTGGTTGCCGTCCACATTAATACAAAGAGTGGAGGGAAAGGTTAGAGGGGTGTTGTGTAGGCTAAATGCAGACACCTAGACAGAAAGATGAAAATTAGGGTTTGAGACCTGAGAAACTGAAGAGATGTGGATACACCACCTTTCAGTTCCCTCCATGGGCTGCAGAAAGGGAAGAAAGTATCAAAGACACAGAATCTCTTGCTGAGGCAGAGCGAATGGAGAAAACTTCTGACAATTCTTGCTTTTTTGGGTTTGGTTTGTGGGTTTTGTTTTTTTTTTC